CATTTTTATCCCTCCATATTTTTTACATCTTTATTTTACGACACCAATTATTTTTGGTGACTAGAAAACTACGAAAACTTCATTCTTTGTATAATTCACCAAATAAAATTAATTAAACGGTAATTGCGTTTCCCTTTTTGCGTTTATGTTTTACCTGAATTCAAATGGGCGCAATCCAATTTCATTTTGGGACTTTGGGACTTTGGGTCAATCCTAAAACTAATTGACTCTCTATCAGCCTACTAAAACTTAGTTTCTCTATAACGTGATAATGTTGCCGCTAAATGGTATTTCTTCATGTGATAATATGGTTTTGAACTTGTTACTTTGGAATCTATCTCAACTACAATTGTTATAGAGAAGGTTCCATTTATAGGTGTTATAGAGAAAGAGGAACTATCATCAAGAATGTTCATTTCGTGGTGAAGAAGTTTTTGACTGAAGCTCCACAAATTCATTTTACTACAAAATTGGTTAGAAATCACAAAACCATGTAGTGTGAAGTTTGATCTCATCGTCTCGCTCCCAATATTCTTGCCTCAGAGGGTGAAATAAGAGACATGCTGAAACATATGTTCATAGTTCTGTTCAAGTTGATCCTAATTACTCAAAGGAACACTGTCAGCAGTCCAGACGATCATCCTATTCCTAGCTACCTCCTTGAATCAAAAGAATATTGATAGATCCACTTAAGATTTAAGAAGATAAATTACATAAATCAATCATCCATAAAATCTATAAATTGCCAAATTATCTTACAAGCTTCTTGGTTTTTTTTTTAATAGATAAATCATAAGAGAACAAAAAAAAAAACTAATTGGTAAATTAAATTATCCAAACAAATTCAGAAGAACCAAAATTTGTTCTTTGATTCTCCTCATTTCCTTCCTAGCTCCCTCAACTACTTCTCTTCATTCCTATCTTTTGAGCACCCAATCGCTACCTCCAAATCATCAATCCCTTCAATGCAAACACCAAATAAACAAAAAAAAGGCATAGACCAACTTGCATGCAGTGTTCTGATGAAGCTGCAATGGTATAGAAGATTTAAGGAAGTTTCAGCGAATGGTATAGCTCAACAGCTTTAAGGTCCTTAATTCATTCTCTTCTCTGTAGTGTTTAATCCTGTGGTTTTGCAGATTGGGCAAAGGTTCTTCCGCTTTAGCCATTCTTTGATGCAATGGCTATGGAAGTCGTGCCCGCATTCCAGCATCCCCATTTCTTCTCCTTCCTTGTATTCCTCCTGCAGTAGTTGCACCAAGTTTTAGCCAAGCAAATATTGCAATTCATGATATTTAACAGGGCTGTGACACATATCCTACAAGAGGGATGCAAGATGAGCGCAAATCTAATATTCTTACCTGACAAATACAGCATGGCTCTACCTCTTGTGGAGATCTGGTAGTACTTTTGAATTTATGTTGCTTCAATCGGTTTGATATGCTTTCCTCATTCAGACCGGTGCAAACATCTCCAATCCGCTCTTCTAGAGACAACAACTCCTGCAGATTTAATGATACTCACGGTTATACGATGAGCAAATAAATGATTACGGGTTTTCTCTGGCTTTACTACATATGTCATGTTGTCAACATCAAGTCGCATGTCTCTATATCGGTCAGGAATATCAGCCCCACCTAGCACCATTGACTGATTGAGAAGCATAACATCCTGAATAAAGAACCACACTAATATTAAACGACCATTAAGGTAGTAAAACTAAGGTTTTCTAATTTGACTAGCTTTCATCTACTAGATAAAAGAGAAAGTAGTATCTATAGGAATTTTCGTTCGTCTAGTTGGATTTTGCTTCAGTAATATCTTTTTGTTTATAAGCATAAACCATACCTCAAAACGTAAGTTCCCTCCCCTACGCATCTGCTCCATGACAGTGCGGATCTGTTCCGAAGGAGACGCAAAGTCAGAACTATAACTATAGTCAATATGAACCAAAATCAGATAAACTATCCAGAAGAAACACTAATATTTATACGAAACTGACCTCGGATGCCTCAAGTCTGCTTCTTCCTCAACTTGTGGATGCCAAGCCTCGCAAAGTATGACTGCCAATTGCATTTTGCCCTTGTCTTGGACCTGCTCTGGAGTAAGACCGATTCTGCACATGCTCATCCGGAGAGGCAGGAGAGATCGACGAACGAGCCGCTCTCTAGTTTGTAGCAAGGGAAGAAAGCAATGAGTTACGAAAATGTTCAGATAATCTCTGATTATGTGGCGAGTTATTCTGGTAAAGAGTCCCTGGTGGATTAGAGGGTGATGGCTGAACAGTTGTCCTGGATGAAGACGATCCAACATGTCTAGCACCAATTGGATTTCTTATAATATTACAGTGGGGCAGATTTCCCAGTCCAGGAGATGGGACAAAAAAGGGACTCTCCAGATTGTTGCTTCTGGAACTGGTTTCATCTCGATGAATGACACTTCTGTCAACGGAAGCAGCGGAACTCGATGACCCACCCGCTTCTGCTGGGCTCGCACTCCATTGAAATGGTGGTACCATAGTTCTTGAAACAGGGGGCATACGAGTAGCAGAAGCATTTGGGTTTTGAGAACCAAAACTGCCTAAAGCATTTCCATATTCCAAGTCGATCGGATGTTGATCTGCTGGTAGAAGTCCTGGTGTGCTAAAGGATGGAGCAACCGGTCGCCTGATAACACTTCCCACAGAAAAGACAGCTGGATTTACAATTTCTTGCTGATTTGTAGGAACCCTGACAGAGAAGTTTCTACTGGAGCTCTCTGTGATGGAAGGAGTAGACAGATTTGGAACAGCGCCTGAGACCAATCCCCTTGGATCATGGTCAAGAGATATGTTCAAATCATTTACTGGGTTATAAAGCGCAGGGGCTGGGACCCTCGAACTGCTCTCTCCACGCTGGAAGTCACGAAAACCTCTGTTTGAAGAGGGCTGACCAATGCTCCCATCAAGAGCTTTTCTTTTACAGGATGCACGACGACCATCTACAGAGGTATCCGCTCTAACACTGCTTTCTGGTGAAAGCCCAAACCCGAGTCCAGGATGACCCATGAACTGATTCATATTCCCAAGATGCTCATTATATTCTGCATTCAGATTGACATTTCGAACAGCACAGCTTTCGATAGATGGTTGCACAAACAAAGGGTTCAACTCAAGATTGTCATTTCTTCGTTCCCCAAAGCGTCCCACTTCCATCCTAAACCTCTCTAAGTCGCGTTGTTCATGATGATACACTGAGTTTGGAAAAGTAGTATTTGTATCATCATCTGAATATACGAAATCCTCGAATCCTTTAGGATCTTCAATACCTCAGGCCTCTGCTAAAGCAACGAGAGAGGACCTCTCTCCCTGCATCCTAGCTTTAACCACAGTTGACACTTGAGAATTCAAGAGACTCTCAGCACTTTCCGCAATGTGGCCAATGCTATAAACTGTAGAAGTAAGAGGAAACATCGTTCAGTAACACAGACAAATAAACTAGCTTTACAATCATATCACTGGAAGACTTTGATCATAAAAATTGAAAACAAAAACACTTGAACACTCGATTGAAGATATATATAGTCATAGCAGAAAGAGAGATGCAATTGAGCAAAAGTCAGATATGCAATGCCTAATCTCAAGACCACAAACCCAATAACAGTTTAAGCTTTTAACCTTGTTAATCAGATACAAAAACTGCATTTATCAATTTTAACACCAAGCAACCTATAGTAGTTGCCACAGACATGAGCTAAATGAAAACAACTTGCAAAGCTACAACATGAATAGAAATAAGATAAAGATCAAAACTTTAGCAAACCCTCAAGTCAAAACTAGCACTACCACATCCAGAAACATGTCGTATCAACAAACTCTAAACTAATCACATCCAAGAACAACCCAGAAAAAAAAAAAGCAAACAAAATCAACAACACTACAGAACAATAACGAATCAAACAACCTTTTACAAAACAAACAGAACACAGGTTCCTGAAAGCCAGAGATCCGTTCGTCACAACCCACCAACCGATTTCGATCGAGCTTCAAAAGAAACCCATCACACTGAATCGATCTGAGAAAGTTTGGTAAGGATAAACAAAAAAATAAAGAAACGGACAAGTAAGCAAAAACTTAGGCTAGATTCTTCATCAAACACATCAATAGAGGAAACCGATTACGGAGAAAAAAAGAGAAAACAAACCATTTTTTTTGTTGCAGAGGAAAGCCAAACGAAGCACACAAACAAAATGAGAACAGAATCCTGAATTTCTAAGGAAGAGACAGTAATATAAGTAAACAAAAAAAATTATACTAAAAACCATTCAACATTATCATAATAATAAAGATAATTCAAAATTAAAACTTGATAATAACAACAAAATTTAAAAGGGAAATTTGTTTTAGTCAATCAAAAGAGCAGTTTCCAAAGACAGAATTTAATTGAATCACAACAAGAAATATATTAATACTAGAATATAATAATATACACATTCATGCATAACGTGATTTGTATGTATGTATAGAAGGTGAAGGAAAAGCAAGTTGGCAAAAACTAAAACGAGAAGTTGTGTCTTTGTTGTCCCTTATGGTCTGCTTTTTTACCTTCTTCTCTCTTTCTGTCTCGTCCGTTAACGAAACGCACGCGTCCTCTTTGCGTATTGCTTCTCATCTTTTTCATTTATTCACTCTTAGAATTAAAGTTGAACCGAATCCAAAGCTAACCTAATTGTGAAAAAAAGGTTAGACAATTCCAAACGCTTTGATTTCGCGATATATATTGTTTAGTATATATCTATTAGTAGGGCACGTATGAAAGTTTGGCGTTATCAATCTGCTTGTTTTTATTATATCATTCAATGTAAGGGTATTATATCGGGTATTATAAATTCGAGATGGCCCGGTTCGGTTCAACCCAAACCCATAAAACTCGCAATATATTTAAGTTCGGTTCGTTTTTCGGGCCAAGTTTTCAAAGCCCTGTTCAGTCCAAATAGAACTACAGGTTATATAGGTTTTTTCGTATTTTTATTTAAAATGAAGTAAATTTCAAAAGCAAAACAAAGTTAAAAACAAAAACTATTTATCGGGTTAACTGTCTATTTTTCCCTCGAGAAGTACTATACAATTGGATATGTGGTGGAAACAAAGATCATTTTATATGTCTCTCCCTTTACAAAACTCAAAATTATATCATTATGATTTGAAAGTTAAAAACCTCTGAACAAACAAATTCAATTTTATCGGTTATTGTTTACAAACAAAACATGTACAAACCGAGCAAAAGTACCATCATTCATTTCGATTTAGATGAACGAGGCTACGTTAACAACTTATGCTACTGAGGAAAAAGTTCAAATTTTTTTGTGTATGATATATCTAGAAAAGGCTACGGAATCACACGAAATGGCTGCAATACTATTCTAACGAGCAAAGCTAGTTATTAAAACCGGTCTAATTGAGTTGGTAAATAATTTCATGCAAACATGGACATTCGAACAAAGATTCAAACACTCAAATATGAGTTTCTGCAAGCACTGGATGGATTCGTGGATTGAGGAGCATCACACAAGGTATGAACGTACTTGTTAGTTTTGGATCTCTTGAGACACATTGTACTATATCAAAAGATTAAAATAAAACACAAACTTTTGTTTTAGTCAAAAGAAGGGTGAATTTTCAAAGAGAAATGAGTTGAGCTTTTAAAAGCTCATCTTCAAGATCTTAGTAGCGGTCACAAACCAAAATTTCATTGAAATAAAAGAGTTTAAAACTTCCCTAAAGAAGGATACAACATAGCCACAAAAAGCTAAACAAACCAAAGTCTCAATCAACATATTGATCAAGTTAAAGCAACAATTACTCAAATAAAACATTGGGGATAAAAAGTGAACTTATGAGTTCACGCAAAGTAGTAATCGAAAATGGACAAACAAATTCCTTATCGAAACCACTAAGAGAGGAGAATCAACACCTCTGTGGTCGTTGAAGCCAAATAGAATCACCATTTATTGTTGAGCGAGACACGAATAGAGTACTCGCTTCTACTCCAAGCATATTCGCCTTCGACACAATGCTCCCTATATAACTAATCACAAGTGACAAATTTGAGAGGAGAACAAACTCCATGAAGGAGAAGACATCAACCAAACTGGCCCAAAGAACCGTTGGTGATCTACTAATGAAGATACTATAGCAACTAGCGCATAACAAGCAGCAAGAAACTGGATTACAAAAGTGACTAAGAACCGTCTTGATGAGCTTGGAACTGAGAGAAAATCAACATAACACCAGATTGCACAAGACGAGATACTAAATTTCGAGTAACAGCCTCATACTAAGGTAAAGGAACCTCACGGAGAGGTAAAAAAAAACTAAGCACAAGGCTCAAAGATAGCTAAAAAGCCTCATATTGAGGTGATTGAACCTTAAACTAAGGAATATGAATCTTAATCCAACCAAATCTGAGACATTCCAAGAGGTCATTGGGATCGGGATCATACCTGACTGAAGCTTGCCGGAGGGAGTCGAACTTAGTAAACTAAGAAGGACAAACGAACTGCGAGACACCAGGGAGAACACGACGACCCAAATAGACAAGGAGCAGACAAGCCGGTTGAGAAGACACAAATCTGGCACAGAGGAAGGGACAGAGCAACCTGTATGGAGGCGTTTGCGGCAAAGACTAATTTGAGCCGCACCATCGATCTCCGGAACCAGCTTCTCCACCACCAACGAACAAGTTCCAAACCGGATCTGACAACCAAAATTCGAAACAACTTTTGGCGACATCCTCTTACACTACATCACTGCAAGACAAATAACGCGAAGCAACAAGGAAATTTACCGGCGTCGGCGCTGTCAGAACCGTCGGTCGCCGGTCAAACAAGGACGATGAAGAAAAAGTTTGGTCGTTGCGGAAAGGGCGAACGCTCACTCTCACAAACAATATTTTAATTTTTTTTCGTCTAGTATGAGTTCAAATGTCCAATACAAATAAAGAAGCTTATTATTCAAAATTAATGGGAAAATCGCATAAAAAACTTTTAAGGTGGCAGCTACTGATACTTTAAACCTCCAAAAATTTTCACTTACACTTTAAACCTTCAACGTGATAATATTTATACAAAAAACCTTTAACGTGGATTTCGAATTTGCGCCGTCGTAAAACTTAACGGAACAGTTAACTTCGTTGATGGCGATAATAATAAATTTAAAAGATTAAAATACATTAGCGATTGAGTTTTTCCTCTACTTTTTGTCGATTTCTTTCTTGTCCGACGGCGCCGGTAACGCTGACGACGGCGAGGTGGAGTAGTGGCCGTCGTAGCTCTAAGGTATAGATCTGCGTAATTGGGATCCAGATCTAGTGCTCGAGGACTGCAACGAGATTAGGAGCCGATGGTCCGTGGATCTCCTTTGTAGCTCCCTGCTTAGGGTTCGGAGGGATGTGCTACGGTCGTCAAAAGCGACCAAGCGGTTCAAGGCAAGCGGCGGTGGCGGTTGTTGGGCTTCCATTCCCACTTCCGGATTGCCGAGGAACTCTTTCTCAGACCGAATCTGAGGAAGCTTACGCCGGTGATTGGGACCTACCGGAAAGTAACGATTCCTCATTGAAGAATGAATTTGAGGATGTTTCGTTTGCCGGGAAGTTTCGTTGTTGTTCTGGTTTGTTCCGGTTTATTAGGTTTGTTTGTAATGTCAATTTTTGTAAACCACACCAAACTTCCGGGTCGTGTTGATAAAAAAAAAATTATGTGAAGATCTTGAGAACTTGTATGCTAGCTTTCAAGGCTTGTTGGCTCTAGTCCGTGTTACTGGTTCGAAGAACGACGAGGCTCGTGGCTCTTGTACGAATTGTGGATGTGTTGGGCACTTGACGCTTCGGAGTATGAATTTCTTGAGTGCAAAGGAGGATAAAGAGAGGAAGAAAGACGGG